AGTATTATCTGTATTTTGATTTAGCGTGCTGATCTTAAAGGTGCATTGAAAAATTTGATACTCCAACTGATGCTTCTGTTGTTGTGGAGTAACTCATGCAGGCAGCTATGGCTCTATGATTTGTTGTTACATGTTATTTATGTAGTTTATTGTAAAAATTCGGTCACTGTTAGGATGCAATTATGGCTTTATTTTTTGGTGATTTCGAAAACGTTTTTTGGTTTGGACATGTGTGTTTGATTGTAGTACGGAGTTAGACTGATGGCCTTAATCTAAGTTTTCTTGTGGTTGTGGTTGTTGTTTGACTTGCATCCCACTGGTATTTTTTGCACACAGCGTTGGTGTACGGTGCTCTTTTCAGGAATATTTTGCTGTTTTTTTTCATGGATTTTCTGTTTGCACAGTCACACAAAGTCACTTTAAGATGTTTTCTTGTTCGTGTTTTAGTTTTTTTGTTTGTTGTGGTTGCACCCGATTCAAGAGCCGAATGGCTCACAGGGCAATACCAAAATAAAGAAACTGAAACTTCGATGATGGCCAAAAATAATTAACTATAAACTAAACTATATATTTTTTTTATGTTACCAGGTAAGGCCCACCGAGCTCTATAACTCTTTTTCAGAAGCGACCTTGATAGTCCAATGACGTTGGCTTCCCACGTGGAAATGGATAGCAGCCGAATATTTAAAACCCATGTTTCCAAATGCGGAGGGAAAAAGCGGAGGACCCGGGGAGAGGCACACACAAACTCGAAATAAATAAATATATACAGCAGGCGTCGGGGTCGGGATCGAACCCACAACCTCCTGGATACCAGGCGAGGTTGTTAACATCTCGCTACCGGAGTGGCAGCCAAGTTCATGGAAACGCGTCATAGGAGACATCCACCGGGGAGATGGAGCGATGAAAATGGCTCGTGTGCCGGTGCCGGCTGGATCCGTAACATCGCAGGATCGGCTTGGGGGAGTGCAGTGGGAGGGGGAGGAGGAGGCGGCCTTCATCTAGCAGTGGATTGACCATGGCCGATGAATGAGCGAGTCACTGTAATCCCTTGTCTGATGGCACGCGCAGAGAGAGGCGCGCGCAGGCGCCGTGATGCATCGTTTCCATCGATACGGACTCACGCGTGCCCCGACACTCAGCCGCCTCCGCATTCCTCCCGAGACAAAGCACGGCACTCCAACGTCCGCTATGCGGCCGTGACTTCGCCGCGGCGCGTGTGCCAGGCTAGGTCCACATTGATGTCACGTGAAGTTTCTTAACCCTGGCAGGCGGATATGCAAAAGCATGCGGATACAAAGGTTGCCCTCCCCCTGTACTCTTGGACAGGATGTTGGGCAAGTGCGAGCTCCTGTTCATACCGGAACGGCATCCGAAGTCGTGGTTTGGTCAGAACCACGCCCGGGGCCCCCTTTGTCTTCCCCCTGGTGATGGTTACGAAACCGCACCAGATACGTATTTAAGGCTGAGTCGACCTCGGGGAGGTCCCCGACCGGTTCGGATATTCACCACTGATATTGGTCGTGAGCGGGACTCGAACTCGGGACCTAGGGGAGGTCCCCGACCGGTTTGGATATTCACCACTGATATTCGTCGTGAGCGGGAATCGAACTCCGGACGCCGGATGCGTAGTTAAGTGTGCTAACCACTGCGCCACCGCTCCCCACAATATACAAGAAACACCCGCGTACACGCAGAGTGACGAGTCATATCTGAACCGCGCCCGTGGCGCCCCGAGGTTGACTCGGCCCTAAATGAGTACCTGATTCGGTGTGCACACATGAGTCTCGCGGAGACAAAGGCGCTTGCCCCAACACTTGCCCCAACATTTTGTTAGAGGCTATACGGGGATCTTTGTCTTTGTGTATATGTTTCCGAGCCAGCACTCGACCCTCTTATGAATGGGCAATGATGGAAGACAATATGTGGAATAGCCTCGGCATGGGAATGTGGAATTTACACACTTAAAACATTCTCGTGACTTGTTTTTGTAAAAAAATAATCTAATAGCCTTTTTCTTGCATCATCACCCGCGACTGGGTGATGATCGTGGAGGGGGTGGGGTGTCACGTGACTCACCCACGATGGAAAAACTTACGTAATGCACCACCACCTACCCAACGTGTACCCTGTGAACAACCCCCACGTGTACCCCGTTCATAACAGTCTGGCGCGCGCTGCTGAGCTGCCCAGGTGCTCGCAAACACGAAAGCGGCGTGCTTGGAATTCCTGCACTGAGAATGAGGAACACGCGGATTAGAGAACGGCGACCATGGTTAACGATATCACCGACACTGTTAATGGGCTCCACGCTGGCTAGGAGATGTTAACTTCCTCGCCTTGTTATACAGGAGGGTCTTGGGTTCCATCCCGACCCTGATGCCTGTTGCATATTTGGAGTTTCTGTGTTCCGTGAACGCGTGGATTTTTCTCCTGGTCCTTGGGAGTTTTTTTCCCCTCCACATTTACAATCAACATCACGCGTTTAGAGTAGTCGGTGGCCGTTGGACATTTCCCCGCGACACGATAAGCCACTTCGTTGGGCTAGCATTTGTGACAGCCAGGTCGCTTCTGAAAACATCTATGCAGCTCAGTGGGCCTTACCTGGTAAAATAAAAACTAAGTTTATAGTTTAGTTTCAATAGCTAATAAAACGTATGTAGTGCCTGGGCAGGACTCTTTCGGGCCGATGGCCCGATGCTCAAGACTAACAACGGAGTGGTAGTGGCCTCCATCTAGCAGTGGATGGATCACAGCTGATGATGATTTATGACGCTGACTGACTTGAACATGAGCGTGAATTCAGTTCAGGGACTTCTCTATATACCAACAGTCGACTTGAGAACTTTCAGAGATATGTCCAGTTTCCTGTTCGGACCGAGAGACGTAAGTTCAACAGCTGTGGAATAGATGGAGGTGGTGGCATCCACATCTGCAGAACACGAAGAACCAGTGGCATCTTCAGAACATGAAGAACCAGTGGCATTCACATCTGCAGAACACGAAGAACCAGTGGCATCTTCAGAACATGAAGAACCAGTGGCATCCACATCTGCAGAACACAAAGAACCAGTGGCATCTTCAGAACATGAAGAACCAGTGGCATCCACATCTGCAGAACACGAAGAACCAGTGGCATCTTCAGAACATGAAGAACCAGTGGCATCTACATCTGCAGAACACGAAGAACCAGTGGCATCTTCAGAGCATGACGAACCAGTGGCATCTACATCTGCAGAACACGAAGAAGCAGTGGCATCTTCAGAACATGACGAACCAGTGGCATCTACATTTGCAGAACATGAAGAACCAGTGGCATCTGCAGAACATGAAGAACTAGTGGCATCTACATCTGCAGAACGCGGAGAATCGGTGGCATCTACATTTCCATGAGATTCTACAAATTTTAATGTAATTCCCCATGTTTAGTGTACATGCCGTGCAACAAGTTTGGAATTGACAGGAGTAAAGTTGGACTTACGGACAAATCGACGCAGGAACAGTGCCTCAGGAACCTAACTCGTTTGTAAGTAGAGGAGTGCCTGTGTGTTACTGGTAAGAGTCTCAAACCACAGTGAGGAGGAGGAGGGAGATTGGGAGTCTTGATACATTGGCATCATGGGTGGAGTCTGCGGTGGGGGGCACGGGGGGGGGTGGGGGACAAAGCCCCCCCCCAAAACTGGACACCTTTATTAATTTATTTTCAGTAGTTTACGATAATGACGAATTAATTATATGCACCCACGATTCCTAATGTGGGAAACAAAACTACCCCCCCCCCCTCCGCCTCCCCCCAAATCTAGAAGTCAAACTCCGCCTATGATCGCATGCGTACGCAACAATCATGTCGGGAGGCGGAGAGCACACGACATTAACTTTGGCAGAACGATACGTGTAAAAACTGTTTTCCCGCCCCCGCCCCGCCCCCCCCCTCGTAAAAAAAACGTGGAGTGACGAATACCACACGAGGGGAGGGGAGGCCTATTGTCCGATTAATTACTTTTGCTGGAAAGAGAATTAGCATTTCCGACAGCTGCGTCATGAACGTGAGAGAGTCTTTTCACACTGGCGGTTTTGTTCACCCCGCCACCACCACCGCCGCCGCCGCCACCCCGCCCCGCCGAGTGGTTTTGCGTGACGCAATGACCGAAGCGTTTCGTTTCGCGCCCAGGACGACCGCCGTCGTGCGGACAGAACCACCCTCATATCGGCCATGGTTCGCCCTGTGGACTGGTTCGGTCAGTTTGGGGCGGGTTTATATTCATTGTTGGCGGTTATTTGTCTCTTGGCCCTTCCTTGGAAGCGGAGTTAGAATTCACACCGCCAACTCGGCTCTCCCTTAAGACCTTCTCGGGCACCACCAGAATTCCCATCGCTCGCCGAGCTCTCGCTGCCCATTGCGGGACGTCGGTTGTAACCTTCACGTCGCCGGGACGCAGCGGCAGTGCCTTACGCCGGTGTCTGGCCCGAGCCCCCCGCTACGAGCGCGAGTGCAAGACGCGAGCGGGCACCGGTGTCGCAGGAAACACCGGCGGCGCGTGCTCCTTCGCGAGTGCAGCCAGAAGGCCCCCCCCCAAACCTGCCGAACGCCCTCGACACGGATCCCTCTGTCCGTGTGCGCGCCTTCTCTCTCGGCGTTGCCCACGACCAGGGGAGCGGCGGGCGCGGTGGTTAGCGCCGCCGTGCCTCGAGCCCGAGCGAAGCGAGTTGGATTCCCTGCTCGCGAGCAATCGGTGTGACGGCGAATATTTGAGCCGCTCCCCTGGCCTCCCTGTAGGTCGACTCGGCCTTGAGTGAGTGCTGTACCTGGCGCGGTGTGTAACAACGTCAGCACTGGGAGAGACAAAGGCGGCCGGGCGTGGTTGCTGGCCAACCCCCCCCCCCCCCCCCTTCGTGCGCCTTGCCGGCCTTCATAGTTGCTTACTCGCTAACAGCACTTGCCCCGACAGTCTGTTAAGGCTACACGGGGGGATCTTTGTCCTTGTCGTGTGTCCGTGCAGGCCGCAACCCGCCACTCGGACTCCCACACGGGGGGGCCTTGCCGCCCTAAGCGCCCCCCCCCAGCCCCCACGTCCGCCCCCCAGAACGCTGTCCCTCGCAGTGCTTCCTGGGTGCAGCTGTCTGGCCACGAAGGTGGGTCGCAGGCCGCTCGTGGGTCGACTCGGCCGCGGTCGTTTAAAGGTTAACACTGGGAAGACAAAGGCGATCGGGCGTGTGGTAGGCATTGAATTATTGAACTATTCACTGTCCCCCGCCCGACCTCCCGCTCCTCCCCCCACACGATTAAATCGTCAGCATTTGTGGCAGCTAAGCAGTTGTAGTGCCTCTAGTGGCTGCTGGGGTCTCGTGACCCTGTCACGGGTTCAGTGAGAGGCGATTCTAACCTAAGGATTGACCACCGTCACGTGACCACTGTCAAATGACCGCGTGAATATGTCCACACTGTCGTGTGACCGCTGTCATGCGCGTTTCTCTTGTCCTGCAATGTATGGGTGACTGGGTGAAAGTTGAGCCCATGGCACCTGGGTCTGTCCGGTGACCTCCTGCCAGCGAGCGTTCGACGCTTCACGTGGCCTGGGTTCTCCGCTTTCCTCCCATAGCTAAACCCACACTTTCACACACACACACACACCACACATGCGCAGAGTGTTACTGCTGTTGGCGAAAGCCACATCCCATTGCTGAGAAATGACACCGCAAATGATTCGGCAGGAATTCCACAGCTGCAGCAGCAATCGCCCTGTCTGCCGAAACCACTAAACTATTTTTTATTTTACTCGGTAAGGCCCACTGAGATACATAGCTCTTTTTGCAGAAACGACCTGGCTATCACAAATGATATCCCAATGAAGTGACTTATGTGGAAATTTATAGCAGCCAAATACTCTAAATGCACGTTTATAAATGTGGAGGGAAAAACGGAAGGACCAGGAGAAAAATCCACGCGACCACGGGCAGAGTGGCACGCAAACTCCACAGATACAGCAGGTGTCAGGGTACCGATAGAACCCACGACCTCCTGCATACCAGGTGAAGGAGTTAACATCACCTAGCCACGACGGCGCCCCTTGGCAAGACCTTCCTGTTAAAAGAGTCTTGAGACTCAGCGACTCTTTCGTTTTGTAAGCCAGAGGAATAATGGTAATCATAATAATAATGAATAGTTGCCTCGTGCCGTACGCTCCTCCCGGGCCCCCTCCGCCCCCCCTTCTCCCCGCAGGGAGCCTGATGCCCTCGCACTCAGGCACGGTGCTCAAGCGCTTCTGTCCCCACGAGCAACGCTGCCTGCAGCTGCTCATGGGCGATGCGCCGCTGTGCCCCTTCGTCCCCGAGTTCCACGGCGACACCACCATCACCACCGTCACCGCCACCGTCATCGCCGCCGGCGCCGCCGTGAAAACGACAGCCGCGACGCCCTCCCGGTACCGCTCGACGTCCCAGCGCTACAACCGCATGCAGGACCTGCTCGCGGGGTTCCGAGCGCCGGCCGCAATGGACTGCAAGATGGGCGTGCGGTGAGCGAGGGCCGGAGTCTGGTGCTGCTGCCGCTGCGCTGCCGCTGCCGCGCTGCACGCTCGGTCACGGATCGTGGGCCGACGGACACACGGGTGGACGGGCGGGCGGACGTCTGGATGGACGGACGGGGACGGACGGACGGACACAAAGATGGACACACGGGCGGACGGGCGGATGGGCAGACGGATGGACACGTTGCCGGATGGCCGGACAGACGGATGGACGGATGTGTGGACACATGGGCGGGGCAGACAGACGGACACAGCGACGGAGAGACGGGCGGACGGGAGACGGGCGAGCATTCGTAGCCACGGCGGTTCCTGCGGCGCCGCTCAGGCGACCGCTTTGTGCGGCTCCGACATGCCCATTGTGAGCCACCTCCACAAACGCTGCTGGATCAAGGCCCGCGACATCACGATTCGCCCAGCGCCCACGCACGGGCTGATTTCGCCATCGCTCCGTCGCCTGGCTGGATGTCCTCTCGGGCGCATTCCCTCATTCGTCTGCCATCGGCCCTTCCGCCCGTAACGAGCCCTGACGAGTTGCTCCCCATCGGTTTCATTCGCGGTTATGGTGATGTGATGAACCGGGGCGGGTTCCTCATTCTCTCTCAGTGTAGTAATTCCAAGCACGCTGTTGTCAACAAACCGTAAACTATTTTGGAAATAGTTTTAAATGATGGTATCAAACACCTGCCCACTCAGCCGCACGTTCTGATATGAACAACGGGGTAAACACGTGTACACGGAGTACACGTGGAGGTGTACACGGAGTACGCGTGGAGGGTGTACACGGAGTACGCGTGGAGGGTGTACAGGGAGTACGCGTGGAGGTGTACACGGAGTACGCGTGGGGGTGGATGTAAGTTTTTTCATCGTGTGCGAGTCACGTGACCCCGGCACGTGTGCCGTGCCCGCCTTCATAGGTGCTGCTCTCGAACAGCAATTTGCCCCAAACCTGTTGAGGCTTTCGGGGTGATGTTTGTGTTTGGTGTGTGTGTGCGTGCGCGCGTGTGTGTGTGTGTGTGTGCGAGCGTGTGTGCGTGTGTGCGTGCGAGCGTGTGTGTGTGTGTGTACATGAGCGTTTAACTTTAATCCCCAGTAGTGTGATCTCCTTGGGTGTATTGGTCTGGCTCAATGAGTCGTGGAGACCAGCAGTGACCCCCCCCCCCCCCCCCCCCGTAAACCCCAAAGAGGGCTTTGACTAAGTAAATATATTTGCGCATCCGCTTAAAAAAATACATAGTGTATTTCTTTTACACAGCCCATTAGCCCACCCGTGGCCTTCTGCTGGGGAGAAGAGCATCTTATCAGCAGCGTTTCGACGTTTAGTGAGCGTCTCGTTATCGTCAGCGGCAGAGTCAGGCCGAGCTTGAACCAGTGCTGGTGAATTGCCCGATGTTTACATGCAAGGGCCCTCTGGCATCGTCACTCGCAGGGTGCGTGACGCCACCGCTCGGCCGCCCTGATGAGCACGTGGGGCAGCGGTGATCTCCTTCTCCCCCCCTCCTCCTGCGTGTTGTTGCCGCGCGATGTCCGCCGATCCGCTCCACGTACCGGGAGCCGAGATCTGATCCTGTTCTTGCGGGAAAAAAACCGATATCGGGATGGTCGTGGCGCCGTCGTCGTTGACGCCGTATCTCGTCGCACCGTCGTGTCGCGGTGACTCCGGGTGGTGACCGTGGTGACGTCCGTCCATCCATCCCTCCATCCATTTGTCCCTCCGTGCACCCGTCCGTTGGTCCGTCGGTCTGTCAGTTTGTGACCACCAGTCCACACGTTCATTCCGACCTCTGTCTATTCGTCCATCTGTCCATTCTAACGTTCGTCCGTCTGTCCATTCTAACGTTCGTCCGTCTGTCCATTCTAACGTTCGTCCGTCTGTCCATTCTAACGTTCGTCCGTCTGTCCATTCTAACGTTCGTCCGTCTGTCCATTCTAACGTTCGTCCGTCTGTCCATTCTAACGTTCGTCCGTCTGTCCATTCTAACGTTCGTCCGTCTGTCCATGCTTTCCAACGTCCAACGTTTCCATAAGACCTGTCGGGCACGGTGCTGGCCACCCACCTCCTCGTGTGCCGTGCCGGCCTTCATAGGTGCCACCCGCTAACACCACTTGCCCCAAGGGTCTGTTAAGACGATATGGGGGGGATCTTTGTCTTTACCTTTGTGTTCTTGCGTGCGTGTGTCCATCCATGTGTGTGTCCTTGCGTATGTACGTGCGTGTCCTTCCGTGCGTGCGTGTGTCTGTCCGTGTATCCGTGCGCGTCCCGTGCGCGTCCCGTGCGTGCGTGTGTCTGTCCGTGTATCCGTGCGTGTCCTCCCGTGCGTGCGTGTGTCTGTCCGTGTATCCGTGCGTGTCCTCCCGTGCGTGCGTGTGTCTGTCCGTGTATCCGTGCGTGTCCTCCCGTGCGTGCGTGTGTCTGTCCGTGTATCCGTGCGTGTCCTCCCGTGCGTGCGTGTGTCTGTCCGTGTATCCGTGCGTGTCCTCCCGTGCGTGCGTGTGTCTGTCCGTGTATCCGTGCGTGTCCTCCCGTGCGTGCGTGTGTCTGTCCGTGTATCCGTGCGTGTCCTCCCGTGCGTGCGTGTGTCTGTCCGTGTATCCGTGCGTGTCCTCCCGTGCGTGCGTGTGTCTGTCCGTGTATCCGTGCGTGTCCTCCCGTGCGTGCGTGTGTCTGTCCGTGTATCCGTGCGTGTCCTCCCGTGCGTGCGTGTGTCTGTCCGTGTATCCGTGCGTGTCCTCCCGTGCGTGCGTGTGTCTGTCCGTGTATCCGTGCGTGTCCTCCCGTGCGTGCGTGTGTCTGTCCGTGTATCCGTGCGTGTCCTCCCGTGCGTGCGTGTGTCTGTCCGTGTATCCGTGCGTGTCCTCCCGTGCGTGCGTGTGTCTGTCCGTGTATCCGTGCGTGTCCTCCCGTGCGTGCGTGTGTCTGTCCGTCCAGCACGTACCTGGAGGAGGAGCTGGCGCTGGCGCGCCGCGACCCCCAGCCGCGTGCCGACATGCTCGCCAAGATGGTGGCGGTGGACCCGACGGCGCCGACGGCGCTGGAGCGCGAGCGCGGCGCCGTCACCAAGCCGCGCTACATGCAGTGGCGCGAGCTCTGCAGCTCCTCCGCCTCGCTCGGATTCCGCATCGAGGCCACCAAGGTGAGGAGGGGAGGGCGAGCTCCGTGACGTCGTCGTCGTCGTCGTCGTCATTGACGACGTCGGCGCTCTATCGGTCAATTGCTGGCGCCACCGCCAGCGTCGTCGTCGTCATCGTCGCAGCCACCACCAGCATCACCACCACCACCACCACCATCATCTCCGTCACCACCACGACCACATCCACCATCGTCGCCGCTCGCAACAGTACCAATGTTTTCGGTGACAGCGCCACGATGATCACTTATCATCTGCATCACCACCACGGTCACCACCATCATCACGATAATGACGATCACCACTCACCATCACCACCACCACCACCACGATCATCACTCACCACCACGATCATCAATATCGTCACTACCATGATTATCACAACCATCAATATCGTTACTACCACGATTATCACGATCATCACCACCACGATTATCACGATCATCACTCACCACCACGATCATGACGATCATCGCGATCGTCATTCACCGTCTCCATCACCACGCTGACCGCCGCCGCTGCCTGCGCGATGCTGTGACGCGTTCAGAAGAGCGACGGGACGCTGAGGCAGGACTTCAAGAGGACCAAGTCGAGGGACGAGGTGCGCGCCGCACTCGAGGAGTTCGTGGGCGGAGACGCCGTCGTCATGGTGAGGGGCGACGAGGGGCGACGAGGAGTGACGAGGAGCGACGGGGATTGACGAGGAGTGACGAGGAGTGACGAGGAGTGACGAGGAGTGACGGGGAGTGACGAGGAGTGACGAGGAGTGACGAGGAGCGACGGGGATTGACGAGGATTGACGGGGAGCGATGAGCGATGGGGAGTGACGAGGATTGACGGGGAGTGACGAGGAGTGACGAGGAGTGACGAGGAGCGACGAGGAGCGAATAGGATTGACGAGGATTGACGAGGAGTGACGAGGATTGACGGGGAGTGACGAGGAGTGACGAGGAACGATGAGGAGTGACGAGGATTGACAATTGACGAGGAGCGATGGGGAGTGACGAGGATTGACGAGGAGCGATGAGCGATGGGGAGCGGCGAGGATTGACGGGGAGCGACGAGGTTTGACGAGGAGCGATGAGCGATGGGGAGTGATGAGCGACGAGGATTGACGATTGCCGTTTGATGTCACGGCCGTGACTCTGTTTGCTTTGCTTTGGCCCTCTTCGGTGACCCTGGGTCACCGCTCCAAATGAGACGTGCACATCCTGGTCTCCCGTGCTCTCGACGCCGGACCAACAAACACACGGCACGTCACCTGACGTGAAACCTGCCCCTAGCCAGGTTTCACGATGGCCGTGTCGAACTGGGCCGGCGCTCGCCGTCATCCTGGGTTGTTGAATCCTGAGGCTGGCTTGCCCGTTTCTCCCTTCACGGGGGACGCTCCGTAATGGCCACGTGAGGATTATAATAATGTTATGAGACCTCCTTTGCCAGAAACAAGATATAGGAATAGGTTTTACCCTTTTAACTGGCACAAAAACTGACACCTTTATTCAAGGCATCATGTTTGCAATGACCACAACACAAGCAGTCAAAATGCAAACAAAAAAGACAACTCTGATAATAATATGCACTGTCCTTGAATTTGATTGGTCCACACCCGAGACAGTTTTCTTAGAGCCTAATCTCCATTGGTGTTGGACCAAAAGACGCCAAAAGGCGTACAACTCAAAAACAGCGCACTATCAGAGTATTGAGGGCTCGGGGTGATCATTAACATTATGAGACCTCCTTTGCCAGAAACAAGATATAGGAATAGGTTTTACCCTTTTAACTGGCACAAAAACTGGCGTCTTTTGGTCCAACACCAATGGAGACTAGGCTCTAAGAAAAGCTGTCTCGGGTGTGGACCAATCAAATTCAAGGACAGTGCATATTATTATCAGAGTTGTCTTTTTTGTTTGCATTTTGACTGCTTGTGTTGTGGTCATTGCAAACATGATGCCTTGAATAAAGGTGTCAGTTTTTGTGCCAGTTAAAAGGGTAAAACCTATTCCTATATAATAATGTTGTTGGCCGTGTCACTGACGGAAACACTGGGCCAGCAACGGTGAGACCCTGGGTTTTGAATCTGGGTTCAAGGTGACTCGGCACTTGGGCTGCGAGCGAGGAATTAGTCTGACGGTGCCAAATGTTGTCTTATCAGGGGGAGGTGGTGGGGTTCATGATGTTCGTGTATGTATGTGTTGAACTTCTTTCGCACCGTACGTAGCCAACCGTGCTAATCGGTGTTGCGGGGGAAGAACGACCAACGAAGCACAAAAAGCGCAGTTCTAAAGAAATTCGTTTTCAACGTAGGTGATTTGAAAGTGCATAGTTCCGGTGGCTTCCTGATATCGGAAGGTAGAGCGCGTTCCAGACGGCCAAGGAAAGCGCATCCGAAAGCGCGCGACGCGGTGACCACCGTCTTTGTTCGATGGCCAGTCAAAAGCCGCCACTGCTGCTGTGAGGATGAAGGAAGTTCGCGTGATGATAGTTTATGCTCCTTGGCAAGATGATGGCCTAATTAAGTTTCTAAAATGCCACTCGCAGAGACACTGAGCTGGCACGGCTGAGAATCCTGGTTTGGCATCCGAGTGTCAGCCACTGCCTGTGATTCAACCGGGTTCTCAAGCGCAATGGGTTGATGGTTTCAGCCAGGTCACGGATAATTCGCACAGAGACCCGTAGACTCGCAGAGACGCCCATAGACTCACATAGACCCCCCCCCATAGACTTGCACAGACGCCCATAGACTTACGTAGAGACCCACAGATTCACCACGTGTGATGGGACAGAATGGTGTTTTATGTAAATATTGCGTCGTTGTTGAGCTGACGTGTGATGGTGATGCATCCGTGCTGCTTGCGTTTGTGCCGTGTGCTGCAGGAGAGCTACATCAGGAGGCTCCACGCACTCCGAGCGGCGCTCGAGGTCTCTCCGTTCTTCCGCTCGCACGAGGTGCAGCACAGCGGGCACGGGTAGCACGGGTGGCACGGGTGGCACGGGTGGCACGGGGGACACCCGGGATCCACGCGGGATTCACGCGGGACCCAGTCGTTGTCGTTTGTTGTGATTATTCCGATTGCCACCGTAAAATTTTCTCAACGTTATTATTCTCATTACCGTCGTTATCTTTATTCTCGTCATCGTCGTTATTATTATCGTCGTCATCATTTTCCTTCGCCATCATCGTCCCCACGGTTGTGCCGTCCCTCCCCCCGTCCCCGCTGCTCCCCCGCAGGTCATCGGCAGCTCGCTGCTCTTTGTGCACGACGCTGGCGGCCCCGCCGGCGTGTGGATGATCGACTTCAGCAAGACGCGGCCGCTGCCGCCCGGCACGGCGCTCGACCACCGCACGGCGTGGCGCGAGGGGAACCGCGAGGACGGCTACCTGGGCGGCCTGGACAACCTCGTCGCCATCCTGGAGGATGTGGCGGCGGCGGCGGCGGCCGAACCGCGGAGCCGGCGGCGCTGCTAGCGACGCCGCGCGGAAACGGGGCGACCGGCGTTGCCGCCGCGGATGTGGGCACCGCCGACGACTGGCCCCGCCAACGCCGCCGCAAACACCGCCCCCACCGCTGCCATCGCGGACGCCGCCACCCACTGCCACCCAGCACCACTACCGCCGCCGCCACCACCACCACCATTGCCACCACTATCACCAGTGCCACCACCGACAACCACTGCCGCCACCACCACCGCCGTCACTATCACCACTATCACCACGGCCACTACCACCATCGCCACCACTCCCGGTCACCACTGCTTCAGCCAACACCTCCGCCACCGTAACGAGCGACAACTACCACCACCGCCGGCGTCGTATGCGCGCGTTATTTATTCCCATTTTACTTGTACAGCGCTTATGGTTGATTCTCATTTGTCGTCGAATCTCGCGAGTTATTGGGGCGGGTTTGTATTTGCGTTCCGCATTTTGAGTCGGCACGAGGACCTGGACTCGGATCGCCGCAGCCGCTGCCCAAACGGGCGCCGGGTTATTTATTTTAAATTTCCGAGCGTTTCCGCGTGAACCTCGGCTGTGCGGGGTTGACCCCCCCTCCCCCGCCCGCTCGCCCGTTTGTTTGGTCGTCGGTTCCGTTGAACTTTGAGCGAGCCCCTCGTGAACCAGAGGGGTGGGGGTGGGAGAGAAAACATCACTGGAGTCACCGGCTCTTAAACGTCGATCTGCTCCTCCGTGGGCGAGACTCCCCCCCCCCCCGTCCCCCCCCCCCCAGCCGTCCCCAGGGCTGAGGGGGGTGGGGGGCGGGAAATCGGATCGCGGCCTGGGCTCCCGTGAAAAGGCACGCAGGGATTAGCGGCGTAAGGCACTACCACTAGACTACAAAGGTACGCCTATGCGTAGCAATCTTATAATGTTGCAGCCTATGTTCTTGTATATAATCCTACGGAGGGGTTTACGACAAAACTTATTATTTTAATAATAATCCTAATGATACTAATGTGCTGGCAAAATAATTCCCGTACCGGTGTTACAAGCTGTTCCAATTCAGGTCGAATATTAAGTGCAGGGGTGAATTTTTTGTTCCAACCGGATTTTGGTGAAAAGTGCCACATTTCCGGCACGGTGAAGGAAGGCGACGAATCTCTCCCTCGGTTTCTCTGAGCTGTGACTTTTAGTCTCTGGAGGGTTGGGGGTCGCCATCTCGCTGGAGTGATCGCAGGAGCGTGGGATAAACTGGACAAATGCCGTGGATGGATGTTCACACGGTGAGCGTTGGTGCTGGCGAGTGTCGATAGGTGCAAATGGGTATTTGTGCCGGTGAGTGTGTGCCGGTGAGTGTGTGCCGGTGAGCGTGTGTGTGTGTGTTGGTGAGTGTGTGCCGGTGAGTGTGTGTGTGTTGGTGAGTGTGTGCCGGTGAGTGTGTGTGTGTTGGTGAGTGTGTGCCGGTGAGTGTGTGTGTGTTGGTGAGTGTGTGCCGGTGAGTGTGTGTGTGTTGGTGAGTGTGTGTGTGTTGGTGAGTGCGTGCCGGTGAGTGTGTGTGCGCCGGTGAGCGCGTCCATGCGTATTTGGATTGGCGAGTGCTGTCGATGAGTGTCAATAGGTGTGCATATGGGCATTTGGCGCAGTGGGAACACAGGTGGCACAATCTGTCAGTCATCTCAGTCGGTCAACCCACGGCACCTGGGTCTGTCCCGTGACCTCCTGCCGGTGAGCCTTCGACACTTCACGTGATAGCCTTAGCGTGCACCTAGCCTGGCACCAGCACCGTGGTGCTATCACTGCCACGTGGTGGCGAATGGCGGCTGTTATGGGTATTTGTGTTAGTACCTGCATTGTTTGAGTGTTGGCTGCTGAGTATATAAGTGGACGAGCTAGTGAGTGCGTGTATGTGTATGTGAGTACGTGCATGTACGTATTATGTGAGTGTCGGCTGGTGAGTGAGTCTATTCAAGTGTACGAGCTGGTGAGTGTGTATATAAGAACGTGCCGTGTTAGTATTGGTGAGTTGGTGCGTGTGAGTTTTCGAGTGTACGAGCTGGTAAGTGCGTGAATGTAAGTACGAAAGTATTGGTGAATGTTGGTTGTTGAGTTCCATTGGGTGGGGAGCGGTGGTGTAGCGGTTCGCGCTACGCTGCGCTACAAAACCCGGCCACCCGAGTTCGATTCTCGCTCACGGCCAACACCAATGATGATTATCAGAACGGATTCTGGGCCTCCCCTAGGTCGACTCGGCCTCAAATTAGTACCTGGTGCTATGTGTAAGCATCGCCACTGGGGAGACATGCGGTCGGGCGTGGTGCTGGCCAACCATTCCCACGTGTGCCGTTTAGGCCTTCATAGGTGCTCCCTAACAGCACTTGCCCCAACAGTCCGTTAAGGCTACAATACAAAGTTTTTATCGGATGTATGTCGCGTGATTGCTCAATTTTATTTAATTGTAGACAAACAGAAATCCTTAAACTTAGCCAGAACCTAAATGAGACCTTTTAAAATTGAGACCTCTCATCCAGTCACCAATTAACCGCTGCGATGGGTATTGCAATTAACCTGCTGCTGCTGTTGTACCTGCAACCACTGTAATAACTACACGCACGGTGGCAAGATTTTAATAATAGTATTTGTACTATGATAATCGTTATTACGTCTTGATAATGTTTATCTCATGAATACACTCAGGGCATATCGCACGGGAGGGCTCGCGTTTTGTGTGTTAATGATTGACGCCGGGCGCGATTATTTATTCGTTGTTTCTTGAAATCGTAAGGACGCAGGCGCAGCCCCTCAAGGGATCATCGCTGGATACCGCTGCTGGCGGAAAGGAGGGGGGGGGGGCTCCTTCCACTCGAGCTGCGCAACGCTTAGCACCGTGTTCCATCTCCCGGCGCGGCGGTCAACACAATGGTGCAAGTTTACGAAATCGAACCTTCTTCCCACCCCCCTTCCTCTCCCCCCCCCCGTATCTATCCAACCCAGCAGGATAGAGTAGGAGACCCAACCGCAGTTATTACATCGTGGGTCAGCAGGGTCGCGCGTGGTCGCGTAACGCGTGGGGCGACTCACACCACTTCCAAGACGCCAGGCCAGGAAGATTCTCTATCTCTCTCGCACGCCTCGAGTTTCCTAGAGGGGTGGGGAGTTCGCTGTAGAGTGGGAGAGTTGTCTGTAGAGTGGGGGGGGAGGCCCCTTCCGCCAGCAGTGGCGTGAGTGAACGATTGCAGGGCTGCGCCTTTAGCGTTTCCCGCCGCTGTAAATCATTACCGTAATTACGAGTGCCGCTGCGACTCGCGCGGAAGGAATGTGTCGGCGGTGGTGGTGGTGGTGGAAACGCGGCTTCGCTTACACGCCAGAGGCTCGCAGCCTCTCGCCTCAATGCATCCCTCTGTGTGTGCGTGTGGCGGTGGGAGTTCACCCCCCCTCTCGCAATAGCCGCTAATTCCCGATTACTCCACACAGCCTCTCTCTCTTACACACACACACAGATAATTGTGTGAGCTCACGGTTAGAGAGAGAGAAAAAGCACACGCACACACAAGCTGCCAAGCTATTAAGTAACAAGATAAATACTCATATACTCTTTCACGCGTATTATTTTAATTCTTTTATAGTTGTACGTGCAACTAAAACACCCCATCTCTAACAAACAGCGGTCCTTCCGTACAAGCATATTGGCCCTGCTGCTGATGAGACGCAGAATGTTGAAACCGGCCCAGTTTTGCTTCTGCTGAACCAATGCCGCTGAAGGCCGTGCGTGCTGATAGGGATGGGTTTTAAAAAAAAAAGACGTTTTGTGTATTAGGAGGGGCAGACCAAGCGCCTTGGTGATGTCACCGCCACTTAGTGGTGAATTGCGGCTGTGATGGTGGTGGTTGTTAAACACGGTGTGAGATGAGACGAGCGAAATTTGGTTCACCGAATCCTTCGACACGGGGTTGGTGGGTGAAAGCGGCTGCCTTGGGGCGAATGCGGCGACTGTAGAGCGCTCTCTAGCGGCCACGGCAGCAGGGAAGGCGAAGCGACATTGACGCGAGATTAAGTGAGGGAGGTAAGGGGGGGGTGGAAACGATCGACTTAAGCAGCTTTCACACGCGAATACGACCGATGACGGCCCCACTGAAAACAAAGTTTTGCACCTTGCTTAAATATTCCAGCAAAACCGTAAGCGGGCCTGGTCCTGTACAAGTTTCCAAACACGTGGGAACACGGCAAAGACGAAGATCTCCCCGCCCCCCCCCCCGTGTAGCCTTAAACTGTTGGGGCGAGTGATGTTAGCGAGCACCTATGAAGGCCGGCACGGCACGCGAGGGGATGGGTGGTCAGCACCACGTCCGGCCGTCTTTGTCTCCCCAGTGGCGATGTTTATACGCCACTGCACCAGGTGCTCATTTGAGGCCGAGTCAACCTAGAGGAGGCCCAGGACCGGTTCAGATAATAATCATCACCAGTGTTGGCCGTGAGCGGGAAGTGAACTCGCCAGGGTTTCTTAACGCAGAGCGCTAACCGCTGCTCCTGCCAAAAGCGGACCCCCTTCGACACTTGAGTCCCAGTGTCACAACAACAACCGCCATTCGCCACTAAGTGGCGGTGACGTCGCCACGACGCTTGTGCCAGGCTATGTGCACCTTGAGGCCACGTGAAGTGTCAAACGCCCGCTGGCAGGTCACGGGCCAGACCCAGGTGCCACAGGTCGACCGAGATGAGTGGCAGCGTCCTTCACGAGCCTCCTACTGTGCCAACTTGCTGTGCTTTAGCCACCCTGCGCTCCGCTCGTTGTTCTGAGCGTCGCTCCTCCGTCCTCCGTTGTTGTTGGAGGGCGACTGCCTCCAACTGCCCAGTAGCAGCGTCCTTCACGAGCCTCCTCCACAGAGGCCGATCTTGACACCGCTGGTACCAGTCATCGGCAAGTCCACTCAGCTCCACATCCTCCTGTACCACATCACTCCATCTCTTCCCTTGCCCGTGTCGCGCCCGTTTCGCCCCCTCGATCCGGCCGAACAAAACCTGTTTAGGCATGCAGTGGCTGGGCATGCGGGCTACATGACCCAGTCAACGCAGCCTTGCCTGCCGGAGGAGCTCACCGATGGGACTTTGTCCAGATCTCACACGCACTGCAGGACGCACACATACCAAACAATTCAGCCGGAAGCAGCAGAAGTGGCAGCAGCACCTGCTTTATTAAGTCAAGGACCACGTTAAAATATACTCTCTTTATTCACAGAAACCAACGGTGCCATTCAATTACACATCGCCTAATGTTTATTGCTTCCCCGATGTGTAGGTGCGGGGCTGTCCACGTCCCTGCCCAGAGCTACTCAAGCCGTCCTCCATCACCTCGCCCAGTGGTCGGCTCCAGAGCCGCATGCGGCTCTCTGCGGTTGCTTCGTTACATAATGCGTGTACGTATTCTTGTGCATTTTGGCTCTTGAAATATTCAGTTTGACTGAATTCGAACAAAAATGGCACCTTGAACCCTGACCTTGCCTCCCCCACGTGGCCACGATCTGTGGGTCACGGCTCACACCAGTGGGTCACGGCTCACACCAGTGGACAGCAATAAATGAACCGGTCCTGCCTGGATCGTGTCATGCCACCTCCTACGTGACTAAGCTGCACATAACCAGCACGGTGAATTATGGTCAAACAACCCCCACGACCGGTGCGGCGTGTGAACAGCGTCGTAGCTATCTATCGAGTAGTGCGCAGGGCGGTGCAACCGCACCCGTGGCCCACGTGCCCAGGCAGAGATGTCCCAAAGGTAAACCGGCGAGTCGGGGCGACTGCCCCGGGCCCTGCGCTGTGGGAGGGCCCAGCGTTTTGATGTCACGGTGTCCGATATAATAACTTCGGTTTAGGTTTTGAAGGCGTCGGGGTGGAGCCCACACAGTGGGATTATCCCTGGGCTCTACGGCCCTGGGCCCAAATCATGGGCCACGAAGAGAGCCGGAAAGTTGTAGAGGGGTGTCCCCATTCATTATTTGCACAGGGCCCATAAGCCACTGAAGGTTATTCACCGTTTGCCGAGGCCTTCGTCCAGCAGTGGATTGACCAAGGTGCGTGCATTAATTATAATTATTTATCACACATTACTCTCGCCACGGAAGGGTTACATTCTCACGATACAGCAATTGATACGATTGACGGCTCAACGCGTTCATGCCGGTCCGTCGAGTATTACTTCTCTGGAAAACTGGCAACAGCCATATACCGGGTGCTTCAAAAGAATGTTCACACTTCCAAGAATAACACAAGAAATGTGCTGCCTCCTGTCTCTAGAGATCACCTGGAGAAGATTCCAGGGCACGCGTTGACAATAATGGCTAACAAGTACAGACTTTTTAAAGCTATTAATATACATTCGTTATCGTGAGAATTTTATTGTGACTTTACCGAAAGAGCCAAAGAAGATTCGTTATCACGTTACAGTGGTGTAATATCCGTTCTTTTTCCATTAAAAACGATAGTCCCATAAAAGTGTTAACATTTTCTTGAAGCACCCTGTATATCCCCTGCAGCAAGATAATGCTGACTCCGTGCCCTGGCTTAAATCAGGAGCAGTGACCGTGCGGACCACGGGCAGGGCAGGGCACGGCCCGAGACTTCCACTTCGCGCGGCCGCGCGTCCACCGCTTGCAAACAGCCCGCACGTAATATGAATCTGTTCTGCCCTGCGCTGCGTTTACTCTCAGGGCTGCACTGCCCTGCGCTGCTCTCTGGCGTGCTTCCGGGCTGTGCGACTTGCGCGTTGTTCGGCACGACGCCCGGACGCTTCGCTGCACGTGCCGAGAGCAGCTTCGCTCCCTTACTTCTACAGCCCCTTCGCACTCTGCCCCCCCCCCCCCCCCCCCCACCGAAGAAGCTCCCTGAAGCTGCTATCGGCGCGTGAAGTGAAACGTCGGGACACTTATTTCGAACAAATGCGAGGCGCCAACCGGAAGACAACGTCGGAGAGCTGCGGTATTCCAGCCGTCACTGCGAGAATCTTGGCCCCACACCAACCGGGTACGAGAGGGGAATGTTCCTGAAAATCCTCGCACCAAACTCTTTTATATTGTTGGCGGCACGCTCAGTCCCGTTTGCCACTGCGTTTCCGGCACACTGACGGAAGCGGCCGAGGTGCTGTGTGCGTTCGTGTGTGTGGGCAGCGGCAGTGTAGCGGTCAGCGTGCTCCGTTACTAACCCAGCAACCCGAGTTCGATTCCCGCTCACGGGAGACAAAGACGGCCGGGCGTGGTATTGGCCACCCACCCCCTCACGTGCCATGCCGGCCTTATTAGGTGCTCGCTAACAGCACTTTCCCCAACAGACTGTCAAGGCTACATGGGTGACCTTCGTATTTTTTTGTACGTATGGTTGGTCACCAAAGGAATTTGAAAAGTCCGATGCGGCCCTCAGGTACGTGAAAGGTTAACCCGGCCTTGGTTTAAACTGTCATTTACGGCAGGCCGCTTCTATCAACAACGCACCAGGTGTGTGTGTGTCCACTCAGGCCTGCAACGCAGGTGAATGTGTGTCCGTTGCTGGACACACACAAGCACGCACGCATACGCCAAAGTACAAAGATCCCTTTCATAGCCTTGAACAGTTGCTGTTAGCGAGTAGCACCTATGAAGGCTGTGTCACCCGACGGGGTGGGTGGCTGCCTTTGTCTTCCCAGTGCAAATGTTTAACACACCCCCACCAGGTACTCATTTAAGGCCGAGTCGACCCAGGGGAGGCCGAACCGCTTCCAATATTCCCCAATGTTTTTGGCCGTGAGCGGCAATCGAAGTCGGGTCACCGGGTTCGTAGCGTAGTGAGCTAACCACTGCGCCACCGCTCCCCACTGGACCCATCCACACACACACGTCGTTCCTGGCATGAGTATAAAGTGCCGTAGGTTTTCATTTAATTTGTTTGCAATTACACTGTACAATCCCGAACCAAAGTATTGTGTCCCAACATTTGCCATGGGTCCCTATCAGGTCTTTGGTCATTTTTAAGTTCAAATCAAACCGCTCTCATCTTGTAGCTATGCACCAAAGTTGTGTATCCGCCAGCTGTCCCGCACGTGACTAAAGATTCGTTTATGAGAAAACATTTTTTGAAGTCAGGGTCAAGCACCTTTCGACAGCACCCTCGTGACATCACTGGCACGGATTCCTTCAGGCTAAATAAAGATTCTGACTCGGATTAAAACCGCGTGGGAGTAATGCCACAGTGATGCTACGGGAGTGCCATGACGACACAAATGATGGAGTCTTTGTAAGTCCTTTTAATTCTCATTAACGAAGCTTCAAGCCAGTTCTGGTGTGAACTATAATTACAATTACAGCAGCATTGTTAGCTGAACACTAGAATGGCAATTACCATTGAGAGTGCCACTCGTCATTTTGAATGCAGCTCATCATTTTACCAACCGAGCGCTCTCAGCAGACTGCGTGTTAGCCCCCCCCCCCCCCCCCCCAAGTCACCCTTCGCTCAGTGGGAGGTCGCTCATTCTCCTGTGCTGCCCCATTGCCTGGAACTCCACCCCCAAGCCATCCGTGCTCTGGACTCCCTGCCACTATTCAAGTCCCGGCTCAAAGGTTCCCCCCCTGCCTATGACTGGCTGCCTCTCTCTCGAGCAAACATGGAGACCCACAGACTCACAAAGAGAACCAAACACTCACTGAGATCCAAAGACATGGAGACCCATAGACTCACAAAGAGAACCTTAGACTCACAGAGACCCACAGACTCACATGGAGACCTATAGACTCACAAAAAGAACCACATACTCATTGAGACCCACAGACTCGCAAAGCTAACCAGACTCACTGAGACCCACAGACTCACATGGAGACCCCTAAACTCACAAAGAGAACCATAGACTCACTGAGATCCAAAGACTCAAATGGAGACCCATAGACTCACAAAGAGAATCATAGACTCACACAGAGACCCATAGTCACATGGAGACCGGTGATTGATTGCCTCTCGACACAATAAACAAGCCCACTGGTTCTGTACAGTGTCTTGAGATGCGGTCACAGATAAGACACTCTGTAAATCCAAACAGTAATTGTATTCATATTCTTGGTTCTTTCGGTAAAGTCACGTAGAAGGGAAACAATAACGATGACTGCTTGTGTTGCAGTCGAAACGTCGTGAGAATTTTATTGCTTTATATTTTTTTATTATTTTATTGTTTCCCTTCTACGTGACTTTACCGAAAGAACCAAGAATATGATTCCCTGCAGTCACGAAAGCTTTAAATCAGTAATTGTATTGCGTAGGGACCCATCGACTTACCCCATAGACTCGCAGAAACCGACTCACATAGAGAGACAAATTCACAAGAGAGACCTCTCTTCTTTCCTCTACCAATGACTTACCGACTTTCTATCTCTCTACACAAAATAAATACGCCCACCGATTCCGTACAGGCTGCAGTCGCATGTAGACACCGCTACATACACATCCGCATCGTATTGCAGTATTTAGCTTTTCCCTGATACACACAGACGTTCACACACACACCACCCTGTGGTCCCACTAAGCACACTTCAACATGTGCCACAACTGTCGTACAATCGCGATGCGACGTCATTTATTTACTACTTTAGAGTTGGTCATTCGCGAACGGCTGGAGTTAAGAGAGGGAGCGTTCCAAGGTGAAAAACAGCTCTTATCTTGTAGCTACACACCGGGGCTGTCCTCAACGTCGTCATGATCGTGCTCATCGGCGTCGCGCCATGAGAAGACGAAGAATCCATGAGGAACTCTCGCAGAGCAAGTGTAACCCCCGTCGTGATTACCGAACGGCCCGTGGAAGCGGAAACCACAGAGCTACGTCTATATCTATCAGTGATCTCCGATCCGCTCAGTAGGGGTCAGCACTTTCCCACCCGCCCTGCCACTGAGTAACCTTCTTCCTATGACAGGGTAACTGAACTATTTATACTCAAAGCTGGAGTGTAGCCAAATTAAGTAACACGAGCCAAATGTGTTTCTTTCGTGTGCAGTTGTAACGTTCTGATTGTTGTTGGACCGTTTTTGACCTGCCCCTACTGGACATCTGTGAGAAAGAGCTCTATAGCTCATTGGATTCCTCCAGGATGAATATGTTGATTCTGAGTTTTTGGTGACTGGGCCGAGACCATATAAACTCGCTACAAGCGGCTCAGTCTATGCGAGTCTGTATGTTAAGTCTATGGGTCTCTATGTGAGTCTGTGGGCCTCGATGTGGCACTCATTGTTATCCTCCTCTCTGCGTGGTTGGAACACAAACCCAAACTGTCATTCACGGAATTTGCCAAACATCCCAACTATAGCAGAACCGACTCCTGAAAATCTTCAGACACAGTGGGAGGATTTTCCTGGGTAAACAAATGGCACTGTTATAATTTAAGGGTTGTGGCGGTGGCGGTGGAGTGGTTAGCGCACAACGCACTGTGAACCCACGTTCCCGGTCACGGCTCACATCGGTGGCGAGTGATGCCAGAAACTGGTCCTGCGTGCCTCCAACCTCCCTCTCACTGACCGGCGAGAACCCAGTTTAACCACGAGCAGCTTCCTGGATTTGGAACTAGGATCTCGGCGGTTCCAGCTGGGCGCTCTGACCCCCGCACCTCCCGGCCAGCTCCTGGTCACAAAGAATTTAAACCGGCTACTACGTGTGGCTGCCCAGAGCACACAGCCTAACAGGTGAAGCTACAAGAGGAGAGCTGTTCGTTTCGTGGGCCACCGCCCTTCATTTGTCGTGCCCATGAGGCGACACGGGTTTTTTGTTTTGAGGGCGAGGTGTTTGCCCTCCCCAAATTCCCCCCCCCACGCAACCCTGTCCTCCTCCACCTCGTCGTCGTCGGCGAGGCTACGGAGGTTACGTGGTTCCGTCAGTTCTTCTGTGGCCGTGCCGCCATGAGTAATGCGATGAGGCAGTAGATGGTGCCACCGACGGTGAGCCCCATGGTGGTGCGGTAGAGCAGCCGGTCGGCCATGCCGCGCTTGAGGTGCACGGGCAGCCCGTCTGCTCGCTGGCGCAATGATAAGAAGAAGGAGACGAATCACGCACATGCGGATGGATTCGGCAAAACATGTATTTCCTGCTTTCCAAGAATGTAAAACTAAAACTAAACTATTTTACCAGGTAAGGCCCACTGAGCTATATAGCTCTTTTTCAGAAGCAACCTGGCTACATAGCTCAACAAAGTGGCTTATCATCATGTGGAAATGTATAGCAGCCAAATACCCTAAACGTGTGCTGCTGATTCTAAATGTGGAGGGAAAAACCGGAGGACCCCGAAAAAAATCTACGCAACCACGGGGAGAGAGACACTGCAAACTCCAAATATACAGCAGGCATCGTCAGGGTCGGGATCGAACCCACGCACTCCTGTATACCAGGCGAGGTAGTTAACATCTTGCCACCGTGGGGGGAGGTTATAAATGACCCCCAGATGGTTTGGGGTGCTTCTGTGCTTCGCGAAGCGTCTTAAGCCCTCTCACCTGGAAGAATTTCTGCAGCTCGGGGACTCTGTTCTTCCCAAATAACTCTGGTTGACTCGCTTCCGAGACGGCCTTCACCGACCCGGAAAACACCATGGGGGGTGATTCAGCGGGTACGGCTCCCCGCAGGCCCTGGGGGGGGGGGGGGGGGGGGGGGGGTAGGTGGGGGACAGGCAAACATGTAACCTTGCACCAACGTTGGTTGACATTGTCCGGCGTCATCGGCGGCTTAACGTCGGGCCTGTACGTCGGCCAAAAGTTGCGCGTTTACTAGCTGAAAGGGATGACAGCAGGTACCAAATACACGCCATTCGCCACTAAGTGAAGGTGACGTCACCATGACGCCTGTGCCAGGCCAGGTGCACTCTGAGGCCACGTGAAGTGTCGAAGGCTCGCTGACAGGTCTCGGGACAGACCCAGCAGGTGCCATGGGTTGGATGACTGAGATGACTGGTAGAGGTGCACCAGCTGTAACCCCTAACGTGGGTACACACTCATCATCAGCATCAACATCGGCCAGGGTCTATCCACTGCTGGAGGAAGCTTCAAACTGGTAAAGGAATAGCCTAATATGCACCGCCCAAGAGCCTATGTTTGTAGTGCCACAGGATATGAGCTGTGTGTTGGAGTATTTATTAGGAAGCCACTGGAACTATGCAATTTTAAATCTAAATTGAAAACTTGTTTCTTTCGAACTGCTTTTTAGTGTTTAGTTTGTTGTCCTTCTGCACCTCCGATTAGCGCCGTTGGCTACGTACGGTGAGGAAGACCTATAGAATCATACAGAGACCCATACTGAGACCCATAGACTCACACAGAGACCCATAGACTCACACAGAGACCCATAGACTCAGACGGAGACTCATACAGAGACCCAAAGACTCACATAGAGACCCATAGACTCACACAGAGACTCATACTGAGACCCATAGACTCACACAGAGACCCATAGACTCAGACGGAGACTCATACAGAGACCCATAGACTCATACAGAGACCCATAGACTCACACAGAGACCCATAGACTCAGACGGAGACTCATACAGAGACCCATAGACTCATACAGAGACCCATAGACTCACACGGAGACACATACTGAGACCCATAGACTCACACAGAGACCCATAGACTCAGACGGAGACTCATACAGAGACCCAAAGACTCACACAGAGACCCATAGACTCACACAGAGACCCATAGACTCACACAGAGACTCATACAGAGACCCATAGACTCACACAGAGACCCATAGACTCAGAGGGAGACTCACACAGAGACCCAAAGACTCACACAGAGACCCATAGACTCACACCGAGACCCATAGACTCAGACGGAGACTCACACAGAGATCCATAGACTCACACAGAGACCCATAGACTCACACCGAGACCCATAGACTCAGACGGAGACTCACACAGAGATCCATAGACTCACACAGAGACCCATAGACTCAGACGGAGACTCACACAGAGATCCATAGACTCACACAGAGACCCAGTTTGTTGTCCTTCCCCCGCACCTCAGATTAGCACGTTTGGCTACGTACGGTGCATAAGAAGTTCAACATACATACAACACACACACACGGTCATTATCGGCGGCCACGGTCTATCCACTGCTGCATGAAGTCCTCCCAAGAAAGTCTATACCGGCCTTGCGTGCTCCGCAGCATTGGGGTAGCTCCTATCGGCATCGCCTAGCGTGGTGAAGTATGGTCGAGCGGTGAACCGCCTTGACCGAGCGACAGGGCGAGGCATCAGTGGAGTGACCACGGCAACCGGCATGATTTTTTTAAATTCAGAAATCGTTTACATTTTATAGTTTGGATCCGCACTGCGGTGGCCGTACATCCAATCACGACTAAGAATATCCGGGCACGTGGTGCCACAACAGCCAATCAGATACCGCCTTTGCTAATATCAACTTCGATTTCTAAAAGAAGCCTAAGTCCGAGGCCGTTTGGGGTTTCGGGTTGGGGATACAAAGACGGCCGTGAGAGAGGCCAACGGGGGGGGGGGGGTCGTTCCGGCCGTCTTTGTTTCTCCAGGTTTTTGCAATCAGATTCTCTCACCTGCGGGCAGTAGGCGGCTTGAGGAGAGGCGCCCGCCAGGCGCTGCGTGACCCCATTGAAGCGGTAAGCCATGATCGGAACGTGTGAAATCGATTCTCTCTGAAACGATTCGCGCGTACTTTCGATGCCAGAAATCGATCCGGGAATCTCATCGTCGTCGGTCATGATCAATCTACTGCTGGATGACGACACCCCCCGAACCGTCGCCATCTCTCGCGATACCACGACGTTAATAATCCACCTAGCATCTTTTTAGTGTGTTAGTTTGTTGTCCTTCCCCCCGCACCTCCGATTGGCACGGGTTGCCTGCGTACGGTGCGAAAGAAGTCCAACGTACACACGTGCCCCAACAGCCCCAACTACTGCCAGCAATTGATTGGACAACGCATTGTTTCACCGGCCCCATCATGGTTCACCATCGACCATGATCAATCCACTGCTGGATTGAGGGTATTGTCGATAACAGTGCTGGTCGGTCTCGGAGGCTGTCAGCAGAGGGCAGTGCAGAAAAAATAATCCAATGAACAAATCAATGAATTGATTTGTTCCCCCATTGCAGCGGGTAGGGCGGGCAGCACACCCGCCATTGGTCCAGCCTCCCCGGGAGGCCCTGCCCCAATCACAATGGTCAGATGTGGGCACGTCGGAGCGAGCCACGTGCCACACGTTGCATTTCCCTGTGGCCATATTGGGTAGTAGGGAGACGTCCGTGTGTTGGCACGCAGTGCAATGTATCGGTACGCAGTGCCAGCATGTCAATGCATTGCTATAAGCAAATACGTACGAGTAAGTTGAATTAAGGTATAAAAATAGTTTTTTCCCCATTTTTCTGGCAACAAAACTGAAACCTTTTTGCGAGGAATCATGTCTGCATTAACCACAATACTTGTGGTCAGAATGCAAACAAAAAAAACGTACTCTGCTAATATATGCATTGTCTTTGAAACTGATTGGTCTACACCAGAGACAGCTTTCTTTTGAGCCTCGTCTGAAACAGTGTTCGACCAGAGGATGCCAAAAGGCGTACAGCTCAAAGACAATTCTAGATTTGAAGCTTTCGTGACTGCAAGGATCCATACTCTTTGGTTCTATTCTGTAAAGTCACGGAGGTAAAAAAATAAAACAACAAAAATCACGACGTTTCGGCCACAACACAAGCGGCCTTCATCAGGTGCTGTCCTCGAGACAGTCTGGTCCCTTCACCTGATGAAGGCCGCTTGTGTTGTGGCCGAAACGTCGTGATTTTTGTTTTATTTTTTACCTACGTGACTTTACCGAATAGAACCAAAGAGTAGCTCAAAGACAATGCACTATCAGAGTAATGAGGGATCGGGGTAAGCGTCTACATCATGAGGCCTCCTTTGGCCAGTACCAAAATATAAGAATAGGGTTTTCCCCTTTTTTCTGGCAACAAAACTGAATCGTATGCTTATATTTTGGTACTGGCAAAGGAAGCCTGAGCAAATTTGTTACGTACGTGTAAATGTATTTTATTCAATTAAATTAACGGATTTGTACCAAGAGTCACATTGATCATATTAAAGCACTGTATTACGTGTGTATTTTACGGATAAGGGGGTATCTGTTCCACGAAGACAAAAGCACATCCAAGAGGAAATAATATTTTAATGGCCTTCCGGATCAATATTGGCCAGCGATGCTACAGTATACAGCTCTTTTTCAGAAGCGACCTGGCCACAGGTGATGATAGCTCAACGCAGTGGCTTATCATCACGTGGAAATTTATAACTGCCAAATACTCTAAACGAATGTTTATACATTTGGAAGAAAAATACCGGAGGACCCGGAGAAAAATCCACGCGACCGCGGGGAAAACATGCAAACTCAAAATATACAGGCGTTAGGGTCGGGATCAAAGATCTCCTGTATACCCGGCGAGGTAGTTAACATCTCACCACCGCAGTCACGTGAGACCTCCCAGTCTACCAGCCATCACGAGACTTCAGTGAAAAACGAAGGCCTGACAATTATTATTTCGCCGATTCTCAAGACTCATATTCAGGAAGGTGCTTGCTACATTGGGATGCTCGGACATGAATTCTCTCATCGGTTACGAGAGTTTGTCTTCGTGTGGGAGGAGGAAAACGCCAAAACCTGTCATTTCAGAGGATAACTTTCAACAGGTGTGGCTCCTACGTACCGTGCTGCCTACCACTGACAGCACCACGTAAATGTTTAGGGTGTGTATTGATGTGTGAAGCATCTATGCAGGATCCAAGATAATTGCGTGTAACCAGATGATACCTCAAGAAACCAAGGATAGAGTCTCGTTAGCAAGTCACATGGGGCAATAGCCTGCTGTTTATACAATCACAAATAAGTACCGTGCGGGTATTTTTTTTTATTTCCCGGCACACAATAGCCTACTCTTGACAATGACGTTTGGGAGATCCTATCAGGTTCCTCTTTGAAACAGACGGAGGGTAGTAACATCACGGTTATTCCACCCGCAGTATTAATCAGGGCGGCAGCTGAAATCAAACCGTGAACCTCTCTCTGTAACAGAGGTGGAGTGTTATGACATGTTCGTGTTGTGTGATGTATCTGATTTAATGTTGTGCATGTGTGTTAGTGGGGTGTGTGTGTTACATGTTAGTGGTGTGTGATGTATGATGTATCTGATGTCAGTATTTGTGCGTGTTAGTGGTGTGTGTGCGTGTTAGTGGTGTTTGTCTCATGTTAGTTCGGGGGGGGTGATGTATTTAATGTATTGATGGTGTGTGTTTATGATATTTGAGTAGACGGTGTTCATGATACGTCGGTGATGTGCGTGTATCAGCGTGGTGTGTATCAACGTGGTGTATAGGCGTGGGTGTGTGTATGATTTCGTGGTGTGTGTGCGTGTGCGGTAGTGTAGCGGTTAGCGTGCTGCACTACGCACCCAGCGACCCGAGTTCGATTCCCGCTCACGGCCAACACCGGTGACGATTATCTGAAATCGGTCCTGAGCCTCCCCTAGGTCGACTCAGCCTCGAGTACCTAGTGCGATGTGTAAACATCGCCACTGGGGAGACAAAAGCGGCCGGGCGCGGTGTCGGCGGCCTTCATAGGTGCTCACTAACAGCACTTGCCCCAAAAGTATGTGCAGGCTACACGGGGGGATCTTTGTCTTTGCAATATCAGCGTGGTATCGTCGGTGGCTGTGCGCTGAGCAGCTGGCCTCCTGTTCCGCAGCTGTGTCCCAGCTGTTGCCGCATCTCGCCGTGCGGTTGATGTCTATATATATGTAGTGGCCTTATTGACGTCGGAGACTGTTCTTTGGAGGCAACACGTATTTATTAGACACTTCAATTACAGTGGCGAATCTGATACTTGAAGAGGTAACGGCCTCTTCGCCAGTACTCTACAGAGGGAAACGTTCCCCGAGCTTTCGCCCACGCCAGCTCCCTGGTTCCCTCTATCCTGGTCCTCTCTCAGGAGGCTGTCTGACCTGGCCCAGCTTCTGCGCAGGTCCCGATCACCAGCCACACGAGTCCGGCCCTCAGAAGGACATCGGCCCTCGCGGCTCTGATGTCGCACCCTGGCTTGCTCTGCCCGGCCCTCAAAAGGACAGCGGGCCAAAGGAGTGCCAGGGTCTGGCTAGTCGGTCTTCTTTCTTCACTGGCTCTTCATCTTGCTTGAGTCGAACTGCCCCTCAGCTCCCCGGGTTCCACCTTTTATGCTGTCCCTCACTGAGGGGTGGGGCTGGGAGGGATCACAGCATCCCCCACAGCCCCCCAGGGTGGTGGCCGTAGCGGACGTGGTTGTGGCCACCGCCCTACAACAGCGTGTCACCCTCCCGTAACACCTCTATATCTATACACACACTACTGCCGTGTAGTGTAGAACTGGGCGCCGTTATTCGGAGTGAGCAACAGGCGGGAAGATTGAGCGATACTCTTCGGTTATTTCGGTAAAGTCACGTAGGTATAGAAAATAAAATATATCTATTTAATTTTGTATACATCATACATCACACACACACACCACTAACATGTAGCACACACACCCCACTAACACACACGCACAATATTAAATCAGATACATCACACAACACGAACATGTCATAACACTCCACCTCTGTTACAGAGGTTCACGGTTCGATTTCAGCAGCCGCCCTGATTAATACTGCGGGTAGAATAACCGTAATGTTACTACCCTCCGTCTGTTTCAAAGAGGACCTGATAAGACCTCCCAGACGTCATTGTCAAGAGTAGGCTATTGTGTGCCGGAAAAAAATACCCGCACGGTACTTATTTGGGATTGTATAGGTATAAAAATAAAATAAATTTATTTTATTTATATATATATAAAAAAAGAAATATATTTACTTATTAAAAAAAAATCAAATATACCTACGTGACTTTGCCGAAAGAACCAAAGAGTACGGATCCCTGCAGTCACGAACACTTCAAATCTAGAAAGATTGAGCGAATTTAAGGCGCCACGGAGTGGAGAGGCACCACCACGCGCGTCTACTGTTGCCTGTGTGCATCCGTGTACCTCCGATTAGCTCCGGTGACTACGCGCGGTACGAAAGAAGTTCAACGTACGTACACGTGCATGGATATGCGTAGTGGTCCTCCCCCTAGGTCGACTCAGCCTTAGGTGACTGCCTGCTGCGGTGCGTAAGCATCGGCACTGGGAAGACAAAGGCGGTCGAGCGTGGTTGCTGGTCACCCATCCCCTGTGTCAGCTTTAATAGGTGCTCGCTAACAGCCACACTCCAGCATGCTGTACAAGGATATATAGGGGATCGCTGTCGTATGGATATGCAATGTCTGCTTGTGTGTACGCATATTTGCGCGTGTAGGCGTTGGCTGGGTCACGTAGCCCGCATGCCCAGCCACCGCATGTCCAAGCAACTTCTGTTTGGTCGGACACATGGGGCTAAACGGGCGCGGCACGGGCTGGAGAAAGGATGGAGCTGATGTGGTACAGGAGGATGTGGAGCTGATGTGGTACAGGAGGATGTGGAGCTGATGTGGTACAGGAGGATGTGGAGCTGAGTGGATTTGGCGATGACTGGTACCAGCGGTGTCAAGGTCGGCCTCTGTGGAGGAGGCTCGTAAAGAATGCTACTGGGTAGTTTGAGGCAGTCGCCCTCCAACAAGGAGCGACGCTCACAACAACGAGCGGAGTTCCGGGCGTCTAAAACGCAACGAGGTGACACACTGGGGAACACAGGTGGTGCATCTGCCGGTAATCTCAATCAACCCCATGGCACCTGAGTCTTGTCCCGTGACCTCCTGACAACAGCGAGACTTCGACACTTGACGTGGCCTA